AAAAAAAAAAAAAAAAAAAAACAAGATCTGTCACGTGCTGTGTTTTAACAAAGTCCTTTCGGTTTGAGAACCAGTGCTTTAAACAGATAATTTGGGCCGCTGATGACCTTGTTTCTCAAACTAACTTCATTAGAATCTCCTGAGAAACTTTATAGCCATAGTAACACTGGGACTCTAACTCCAGACTCTAATTTGATTGGTCAGGGGTAGGCCAGGAAATCGGCATTTTTATAAAAGCCTCCTGAGTGATTTCAGCATGAAGAACCACTAGCACGTGGGTAATCTGACCTCTTGGCTTGAGCGATCGAGAGGAGGTCAGAAGAAGGACCGCACGCTTGGAACCAGGGACAGTTCAAACGTAAAATGGAGAAGGGAAATAATTATAAATGATAGCCTCAGGGATTATTTGGGAGCAGTGAGCATTTTAGATTGAAGGAAAGGGGAAATTTTTTTAAACAGATGATGGAAGTGTGAAAGAGTACAACTAAGATAAATGGAGATTGAAAATTTCTGGGGCTGTTGTGCACTAAAACCCTGTCATACATTTATTATTCTGAGAATCTCAGCTAATACCATTTACTTCTTAAAACAATCATAGAGAAAGACATCCCTATTCTTTAAAAAACGTTTAGTTTTGCAGTTGTCCACATTGCTTTGTGGTATGCAACAGTAAGGTAGGTCATGGTCATGCAAAGTGTGGAATCTGATTGGACAGTAATTATCTTCATTTACACAACACCCAACTGAAGGAAATAAGGACCATCATTTTTAGACTTAAAAAAGTACAGGCAAAAATTAGAGAAATTCTTTTTGCTAGAGACAGCTTTTATTTTTTTTCCATTGAGTTTATTGGTACTTTTTAAGTATACAGTAGAGTTACATTTCTTTGGGATCTTGTACCTTTACATGACAGATCTTGGTTCTCATTTTTTCCCCATACCCCTGCCTTCCCTTCACCCCTTTAAAGACAGCTTTTATAAGGGATCTGATTTTTATATTTTATTTCATCATTTATTTGTTACATTCATATTTTGGGTGAGTTGAAAAAAATAGCAAGTTTTGAAAGAAATGGTGAAGGAAGGGACCCAAGTAGTAAAAAGTAAGGTGACAGGAAATGAATGATAAAAATGACCAAAAAATATAGGAAAGGGGAGAAGGGTCTGAAAATGTCACAATAAAAAGAATGGAAGAATTTGTCTGTTTACTGTTGTATCTATGGTATCTAGCACAAAGCAGACCTGTAACATGTCAAAAGATATATTTATTGTACTTACTGGACAATTGACTTCCATACATGGGTCTAGTTTTACATATTAAGATGCTATAATTACTAGATGACTGAGGCATTTGTGATGAAATCTTAAATGCTTTTTATGAAGAGCTTCCCAAATGTACAATATTGTGACAAGATACTGTAAACTCTCCTACCCAGGGTATGGTCTTTTTGTAACCAAAATTTGGAAAATATGGAAAAAGAAACAGGAGTAATTTATCAGAGGAGCTGGCAGTTACGATACTGCTTCACTAGTCTCAGAACTAAGACACTTACAAATAATGACCCTGTAGGGCCATTTTTGAAAGAGGGTTCAAATCCCAAAAAGAATTGGTCAGCCAATTTCATCCAACACACACTCCCCAGACGTGTTTCCAGGTACTGAGTACAACGCCTTCCTGTAGTCCTAGAGCTCTGAATTCTGAAAGCCCTAGAGCTGTCCAAGGCCACCACCCACCCTCCCACATACCGGAGGTGAGAGGTATCTGAGGGTGAAAGGACTTTCATTTCCTCATAGATTTCAGGTAGGTTCGCCTCAAGAGAATCAATCCCTAGAATGAGGTGGAAAAGCAAACCAAACGGGCTCCATTCTTTCACTCTTTGGAAAATGGAATGGCAGGAGTGACTACCGCTTAACTGTTCCTTAACGAATTACTGCTCCAACATTAAGTGAGCAAGTGTGAAGAGGTCAATTTTCCCGGGGTCTTGTGGCTTGGGGCTCATCTCAGGATACGCTTAAATAAAATGTCCTGATTGGTTTTTATTTGCTGCGTCGGGGAATATTTACAAAGCCTCCACCTAAATTGCCAGGTCCTAGGATCCAGGAACAACAGCGACCGATTGTCAGCTTTCCTGGGTTTGTACAGACGTAGGTAAAATGCGTGGCTCATCAAGTGGTTCCAAATGCCATCGTGGGGAATACAGGGATTCCTGGGGAAATTAACAAGCAGCTCTCAACCCAAAGTTTGTGTCAGTGTTAAGAAAAGCAAAACCCTCTACTCGTCCCCCTCCTTCCCCTTACAGGTCTCGGCTCAAACCATAGGCAGCCTCCCGCCGACCCGAGCCCCTTCCCGGCCTGCGCGGTCCCAAG